TTGTTCAATATTGATGATGAAATCTTCCATAAAATGGATGCCTTATCATCACAATAAAACTTATCATTTAACCAGTGCTTTCGATATTCCTGTATATATACAAGTAAATAAAAGAAATATTAAACAAGTAGCTATATGCAATAGATGAAAGAACCAAAATACATATTAATATCTATCTATTCTAACTCTCATTCCTCTTGAAATCGAAGAAGTCTTCATGATGCATTAAAGATATCTTTCTTCTGTTTATATGAGCTGTTCTTTAGGCCATGCTACTGGTACTAATCGTTATACACATTATAGGCATTTGAAGAGCTTAATAAGCATTACACACAACTATTAATCTTTACAATTGTATTCTGGGTTAATTGGTGCTTATTTGAATTCTAATAATCCTCCAACTTGGTTTCATAACTCTTTAATTTCTGCTTCGGAATGACTAAAGCAAAATAATGAACTCATTAAAAAATACTAATCAGATTTAATTACTATCCAGCTATTACCAGAAAGTATTATACCTTTACCTTTGCCCTTAGCAAGACAATTTATCAACTGCATGCACCTTCTTTTAATACATATCAAAGCACTTTTCCTAATAATATTTCTCATCTACTAGATTTGGTAGTGCCAAATATTTTATTTTCACAAAAAATTCATAATCAAGATGCTAATCACAATCATTTAATAGCCAGAACTGTTATAACTAATGATAATACAAATTTTCTAATCCTTTTTAATAATTCCAACCTGGAAGCTCTAATCTTTCCCGATTTATTTTCTAGGGGTCGAGGGCATTATGAAGATATAAAAAAATAGTTAAATATAAAACCATCCAGAAATAGCTATGAAAAATATATCAAACTCAGAATGTTATATCCTGATCCATAATTTCACTTATATTGGTACTAGCCACATTGGTTATATTTAACTCTAGAAAAAAAAAGAAATTTTCAAAACTGGTATTGTCTTCTGGCCACTTGAAATGTTAATTAAGAATACTATCCAACAAGAGCCAATTTAATTGCTATAAGTTCTTACAATAATTACACTATGCTTGATGAATTTAAAACTACAACTATCCTATCACACCTAAGAACTGCAGCTCCTTATTTTAAAAAGAAACAGCACCAGGTCAACACGATGATTCAAGCTTACAGTCTATCACAAATATTTTACACAATAACCATGGCAGAAGATAAATAGTCACACCTATGTGAAATCCTGCTGTCTACTGACAATCATAACCTATTACCAACAAATTATCTATTGCATATCTACATGTTCTACTGTAACTTTTTAAATAACATTTATAACAAGTTGTGAAAAATCCCAATCTAGCAGGCTGGAAAAAATGTGAACACTTCTTCAAAAGAGATAAATTTCAGAATAGAGGAACAATCTGTATACATGAATTTGCCTATACTAAAAAAAAAACTCATAAACTAATTACCTTAAATACAATTCGAGCTGATATTCCTGACTCTGTTACAGAACCTGATTTATATCATTTAGTTATAACATTTCAGATACACCACTGTGATCATAGGTGTAGAGATCAAGATTCTACAAGTGAACAGTGTTCCAAAGGTTTTTCCCAGCCTCTCTCTGAAGAAACATATTGCTCTTTAAATAACTTATATTATATATATCATCGTGCCAAACAAGAAGACAGGATAGTTGTTCTATACTATCCCAAAACACTATTGATTTGGAGAGGACATATCAATTTTCAATATATTATGTCAAATAGTTTTGCTAAATATATAACAAAATACGTAACCAAACCAGAACCTTTGGAACTCTTTGATATATCTGAAATTGATGAGTACAAGAAACATGTTATGGTATGAAGATTAGATGCCATGGAGTTAATGATTTTATTATTACAATATCCTTTAACAAAATGCTCCATCTCTATACTCTATCTTCTATCTGCACCATCTAAACTCAGGTCTAGGTCTGTTAAACCAATTCATCTACTAACTAAGTTAAATAACAATAGTAATAATAACAGTGACAACAACAAACTTCCATATTGGAACGATGCAATTGATAAATATTTCGATCATCATAATTATTCAGACTTTACCTCGATTATATATCCTGATTATTTTTGTGATTATATCTTCAGATCTGGGCAACCAAGCTAGCGATCTAATCTATTCTACTGTCAAGACCTCAAAAATAGATTAGTTGCCCAATGCAAAACACCAATTTTACTAAGATTTATTACTTATAATATAAAAGATAATGAGCCTTTTTTTTTTTAATATCTTATAATGAAACTTTTTGTCAGATCAGAACAAGAACTACTTAGAGGTTTCAAAACTTATAGAAACAGATTCCAGACAATATTTCTCATAAGATACAATCAAGTAACCAATTCACTTTGTATAAGCTATATTGAACAAACAAATAGTCTGTCAGAATCATATAGCTCTATAATAAGATCTCTTCTTCATGATTTTGAAAATCATGATTTATCAGATCTTATATTTAATCAATTTTTCTTCTTAAATAAACATCACCCCAACTTAGATTCATGTTCATTATTAACCTTAAACACTAAACAATACAAAATCTACTCTACACTTAAAGTAAATTGTCAGAAGGAAAATATCTCTATTTCTTTTTAACAGGCCTAGCTAGAACTGGAAAATCATTTTTATTATATTAAATAACCTCCTTACTCCAAACAAAAAAAAAAAAAAATACTTACTCGTAGCCTCTACTAGCATTGTAGCTCACAATATTGGTGAAAAAAACACTACACTCCTTATTAAAAATTCGATTTCATAATAGAAGATATGAAACTTTAATCCACTTTACAGAAGACAAATCAGAACTAAGAGAAATAGAATTAATAGTAATAGAAGAAATATCAATGATAGATGGCGATTTGTTTACTTTTACCAGTAACACTTTTGCAAAAATTCACAACAAAAATTTTATCTTTGGAGGAATACCAACTCTAGTAGTAGGTGACTTAGCTCAACTACCTCTAGTAATGCCAAAATATGGTTTTCAATCATCTGCATAGTTATCTTTCTTCCCTTTATTCTTAACAACTCCACAATATCAACAAAATAATCTTGATTTTTATAATATTCTACAAGAAATACAAATTGGTCAAATATTAAATAGAACCAAAACTATTATTCAATCAAAAATCAACATAGATAATGACCCTATAATACCACTCACATTGTTAGTACATATCAAGCCACTAATAGCATAAACCATCTCTTATGTAGTTATTTCCCATTCAATTATACAACAAATGAACCATTCATCTCTATATCTGAAGATACTTTAGATTTCGAAATTCTAAACAAAAACCACTCTATAACTCAATTTAAATCCTTAACAAATCTACCTCATACAATATATCTACAAGAAGGTGCCCATGTCATGTTTCTAAATAATAGACTTTTTGACAATGATATCTGTAATAGTTCAATCGGAATCATAACAAAAATTACTAATTAACAATCCGTTGAAGTAACCTTCCCTACTTTTTACTAACCTAAGTAAAGTTATTGTCTAAAAAGAAACTACTTATTTCAATATTAATGGAAAACGAGCATTAAGAAAACAATTCCTACTCCAAAATGCCTTTGCACTAACCACTCACAAAGTGCAAGGCTTAACATTACCTCATGTAACAACTTCCATTGACAAATCCATTTTTGCAGAAGGCCAAGCATATGTTGCCTTAAGCCATGCAACTTCATGGAAAAACCTCCGCATCATTAACTTCGACTGCAAATACCTAATATTACCAAAAGCTGCTTTAAATGAGTACAAAAGATTAAACATGATGCACATGAAAGGACTTCAAGAACTTCAATAAATCTTCATACCTTCAAATTTAATCTTGTGTAATCTCATTTACCAAATAAAGAGACCGTCTAAAGCCAGGTGTGTTCACGTGACTAACAACCAATCAAAATATAAATTTTGATTAACCCGGATCAGCCCGGCGAGACAAAAACAAAAAAAAAAAGTGAAAACCGCTAAAAATACAAGAAACGAGTGTCTAAACCTGTCTTGAAGCATTAATAAAAAATGTCGGGAAGATGATTTTACCTATAAGAACTGCTCCAACCCTAACTCCTAACTAACGCTTACCCTAATTTTAATTAAATAATCAAAAACATATGAACGCACCGGGCTTTAGCCGTTCCCCAAATAAATCTAATTGATTAAAAAAAAAAAAAAATACCCCGTGACCATTACTCACAGCAACCACACCCACCTTGTATCTTATAATTAAATAATGTATTAGTACCCCTAATTACTCCTAATATCGCACTAAAATTTTTTATATTGACACTAATTAATACATGATATAAATATTAATATAAACCAATTTCTAAAATTAGAAATTTTATGTTTTATCATGAGAAAAAAATGTACACCCAATCAACTTTAAGATTTTGCCTTCGATTTAAGATGCCAGTACGTACACTTACGTTCCTGGTATGCGCGCGGGTATTGTTATCAAAATGAATTGGTGGGGTAAAACATTTATATACGAAATACTAAATAAGACAAAAGAAAATGACGTAGAATAAAATATGACAAAATAAAGTCAAAATAAACAACTACATAATTTATGTAAAAAGAAATAAAATGAAATAAAATTAACATTCGAAATTAAAAACCTACATTATGACTTCATTGCAATCAGTGTTAAAAATTTGTTGTGCATGTATTGTTACTTACACAAAATTAATAATGGGCACAAGAAGTAGAATAATATTTATGTACAAATTTTTTTTTTTTTGCAATACTTCACTTCTTTATATAAAGTGAGTATTATCGATGAATATTTCTCTCTTCATTTCAAATTCGCTTTTCAAATTATCTCTTTATTTAAAATTCGCTTCGCGAATTATTCTTTCATTTCAAATTTCACCTTTATCTTTTCAAAGATATACTTTAAATTCACTTCTCAAAAATCAAAATTATTTTTTTATTTACATCATAAACTTCAAATGAACACTAAATTATTTACCATCATTATCACTGTTCTGTTTATTCTTGGCGGTATGTTTTTTTTTTTTTTAATTTACAAAGACATCTTGGACATCTTGTAATTCCTTTTGTTTATTATTTAGTCATAGAGCATGGAATAAATGCAAAGCATATAACTAAAACTTGCCGCAAAGGTCTAAAACTATGTGATAATACTTGTGCTGACATCACCTGTGACGATAAAAACTGTGGATTTTGTGGCAACGCTGTATAGTATTCATTTCTTTTTTTTCTAATTGCTTAATTATAAATTTCATTGCTAATCTCCTGCGAATGATGTAGTGTATTGATGGTCAGATCTGCAAAAAAGGAAAATGTATTTGCCCTCATGGTTTAACACGGTGCGACGGTACTTGTGTCAATACCACCTCTGACAATCAAAACTGCAGATCTTGTGGCAATGCTGTATGATATTCTTTCTTTTCATTTTTTTTTAACTGCTTAATTATAAATTTCATTTCTAATCTCTTGCAAATAATTTAGTGCCTTAGTAATCAAGCCTGCGTAAATGGAAGATGCATTTGCAACATAGTATGTCATTAATTCCTTTCCTTTTTTTAGCAGCTTAATTATAAATTCTCTTTTCTCACTCCATTCAAATACGCTTGCAGTCTGGTCACAGCGAATGTCAAACCCCGTCAGCTTGTTTGGTGCCTCAATTATGTGGAGGTCCTGGATGTGGTTGCGTTCAAAATGTAGACGGAACAATTTCTTGCATTCATAGTCGTGTTCAGTCTTTAATCCCATGTTCAAGTTCTCGCGATTGTCCTTCAGGACAAATATGCGTCTTTGGTCCCTGTCCAGCAGTCAATCTTTGTGCAGATCCCTGTGCATCCTCACAATCTTCGAATATACTACCCGCATCTAGTGAAAATTCAAGTTATCTAATTCAAATTCAGTAAATCCTTTTGTCTCATGAAGATTGTATCAAATACATTTTAATTAATTGAATAGTTGCATTTTCTACTATTATAACTATTGCATACTGTTAGAATTTCTTTAAATCAGCGAATAACTATATTCTAAGTACTTAATTCTAATATTCTTCAAAGTCCAGTTGATTAGACAACCGATACTGCCTTTAATCTATTCGTACTCTTGATATCCTTATTACTCTTACCAACATAGTTTTAATTAGTGATTTGAACCGAGCAAAATTTTTTTAATCGGTTAACCGAACCGAATTATTTTATTCAACCGGTTGCCAATCGGTTGAGATTAACTATCTCTACTTTCCGGTTATCTTCGGAAATTCTCGGAGATTTGCTCAAATTTTTGTCTCAACTTGCTCGCTTTTATGCTCATTCATTTTCTTTTCGGAGCCTTTGCTCCTTCCTTGTATCATTTTCATAATACATCGATCCTGCCAACCGATTACCCAATTCTCAACCTGATGTATCGGGTCAACCGATTAAGAATTTCCTCAATCGGGTCGATTAACGATTATAGGCCAACCGATTCAAATCACTAGTTTTAATACATTAAGCATATATACACAAAAAAAATAATTTGGTTTTCATATCCGAAATTTTTTATGGCGCAGTATACAAATAACCAATAAAAATGCACCATTTAAATAAAGTAAAATGCCTAAATTTGCATGATCCAACTAGAATTATGACTACGTAAAATTCTAAAAATACCCTCAAAAAGGAAATTTTTACTCCTGTCGGTTTTTTTATATATATAGTTTGCTACCAACGTTCGTGTTCATGTAGATGTTCGTGCGATTATTAAAAAAATATTAAACTGTATTAAAATACACAGTTATTTTAATATTTATGAGATTTTCAACATGAATTTTATATTCAGATCTTTTGGCGTTTTTTTTTCGGATTTTTTTTTTTTTTTGCCGGCTTAATTAATTGATAATTTAAGTTCTTAGTGAAATGTGTTTGTTGTTTATTGTTGATTTTCCTAATTTTGTAACCATAAAAATATGGCATACACTAGCCCACTTTTATTGATGACTCTTATATCAATATATTCCAAAACCTGTTCTATGCAAGCCACGTTCTAATTCACCTATATTCTATGTCACCTTACTGGACAAATCTTTTAGCCTTACATATTAATAATTTGCCACATATAAATATTTGTGCTTATCTCACTTTGTGACTACGTATAAAATGTAACAAAATCTATGATTTTTATTATGTGATGAGGCTGAAATATAAAATTGAAATGGTCAATTTTTATTTTCTGAATCCTGTTCTATAAACCTCATTTTATCCACAATTTAGCTCATCACACTCTAGATAAAGTATGTTGATAATTCAAATCAGGTGATTTCTATTTACTCCATCTGATTAAAAAAAAATTAGTCAATCAAATTTACTAATTTATAAAAACCTGATTAAACAAGAAACCCTTCAAAATCAGCAGATTTCTGCCTACTCCCTTACTGTAGCTTGCAAACCAGCAAGTCAACAATGTTCGAACAAATCTAATTCGTCCTTTAAATCATTTAACAATTTCTTCTTTAGGTTTAACATTCATATAAGTTTATTATTAATTTGACCATTTACAGTACACGAACATTGGTATTTTCTCGTGGTAATTTTACTTTTTCCATATTTATGTTGATTTTATCTTTTATCATATATAAAATCTAAGTTACGTTATCTTATCGCCTTTTATTTTCACGTAATTCCGACTCCTAATTGTCCTAAGCTAGCTGAGGACACTACTATTGTGATTTGCATAATCATAAGCACAATTAACCAATAAAATCCATACTGTGTATATCACATGTTTATTGATTACTTAGTTTAATTTTGCCTTAAGAATGGGAAATTGGTTCTTGTCTTGTCTGATCGCATATGCTCGTAAATAACTTGCGAACTCATAAATTGATTTCTTTTAATTTCAGCAAACACGATAATTGATCCGGGCAGAAGAAACAATAGATTAATGAATGTTTCATAACTTGCCCATGATTTCTAATTAAATATTTAATAGTATGAAATTTAACACAATTAAACGAAGAAATTAATGGCCAATAATCATTTATAAAATTGTTAATTCGTTTAATTACATATCGTAATCAACCGATTAAATGCGGTTAAATGAATAGTGGTTCCAATCCCTAGAATCCTTAGAATCCCTATAATAAGAAATTTGCTATTATAAATCGGTTTTTTGCTATTGTAATATGTATTTAAATAATCATAAAAATTTGGTTTAAAAACTCACTTATGGGAGTTAAAGAAATGAAATACCGATCCAGAATAGAGACGCGTTTCATACTAGTATTAGGAGTAGCATATTCAATTAAGATTAAGAATAATGGTGGTTTCAAAGTTAACAAATAAGTGACGCATTTCGAAAATAAATAGGATTTTTTCAATAGCATTTTTTTACTATGTTGAATTATAAATCGGAAAAATAAAATAAGATTAACTTTGAAACTCCCTAATATTGTAATTGTAGGAAATAAAGCGCGTAATTCTATAATATTCGGTCAAGATATTACTTCGTTTATATTTTATTATACTTGTTCTAATTCTAATAAAGAAATGGTAATATACCGGGTGGATGAAAGTCTCTAGACAGGACCTTTCCGCTTATAATAAAATTTTATATTTATAGATATTTGCAATATAAAGTAACAATTAAAATGAAAACCAAAATACATCATTTAATGATTAATAAGGAGATCCTGTCTGGAAACTTTCACCCACCCAGTAGAAAGTATTTAAAGATATTCCCGTCAATAATTTAAAAACTAGCTAACAATCCTATAATGATTAATAACGCAATAATACGTATTTATATCTAATTGTTAAATTTATTGCGCTTTGCAAAGAGATGTGACCTCTGTAGATCACAATGTTGCGTGAAAATCGGAGATTCTGTAGATTTTAAATATAAATATAACTGATCGAAAATATGAATTAATAGTCATAGGCAGACATTCGTATGATTGGCTGTTTAAATCAATTTAATTTTACGTTATTTATACAGTTTAAAGTACTTTTTAAAAAAAAGAAAACTACTACGAATAAACAAAAAAGAAGTATATAGAAAGTTTTATTAGGGTTGTAGGATTCCACTATTAAAAATAA